TTCTTTTCTACCTTCATGCTTCTCCAAAGTGCTAAGGTTCCTATAAGATTTCTGTCCTGCACAGAGTCAAACTCTGGGTCTTTCACTTCTGTGATGGCTTACGATCATAAAACGTAATTTATTTGGTAGCGAAAACGTTTCTAGGAGTTTTAAAAGGGACTACTACTCAGAGCTGAAAAAAAATTACAGCAGTCAATTTTCTTTAAACCCAGAACATATACCATTATTTATAGGAAAAACACAGCAACCTTTGTTCTCCTGCCTCTAATAAAAGGTGAAAGTAGTTGTTGGGCTGTGCGCTTTTTAAGAGTCACTACATACAGTCAGCCTGTTAAGAGTTTAAAGCAGACACAAACACTGCTTCAGTGACATTTAATGTTCCAGACATGACACACTACTCTTAGCACTTCTGCACTGAATCCCCATACATACCAAGTTCAGACAGCAAAATAATCCTGATTCTAAAACGGAGAACTCACCACCAGTATTTTAAGCTGTTTCTTCCTACGTCAATAGTTTCTCCCTACGCACAGGCAGCAAAGTGGTTTCTCTCAGGCTATGCTTTGTCAAGCCTCCAACAAATCTGAGGTGAACTTTGCAAGGTCCTGGTCAAGAACTCTTCAGTGGGAAACTCGATATGTGTGAATTTTAAAGTTCGAGACTGACCCATTACACAGAAATACCACAGGTGTTCTTGGAGCACTGACTGCAGTGGTCGTCGAAGGGAAGGTGCGGTGTAGTTTTACTCAGGTTCCTACTGTCTCTTCTATATGGAAAACACAGTCAGTCTGTGGGAGGCCGAAAAATCATTTTGCTAGGCCTAGCTCTTCTCAAGAGCACAGTGAAGCTAAGGGAAAGCACTAGGAGGCAATTAATGTAAGTGGGTCAGTGTGTACATCTCGGGGTGGGCGGGGGGAATCTGTGCAATGGCTGTCCAAACCATGAGTTCAGATAAGACAAAAGCTGAAGAGTCAATAATGGTTCCCAAAGTGTTTACCTTTAAAGGTAAAGAAAGGCAAAACCCTGAAAGGAAGATTAAAATAACCTCATAGGAGGACCGTTCACTGCATTTGACATGCCTCTGCTTGTTCTCATCCATTCCAGAACTTTGGTCAAATGCACACTTCTTAGAAAAGCCAGGCTCGTACTGGGAATGCTGTTCTGGTCCTCCCTTTTCCTAGCCAAGTCCCTGCAAGCGTATGGCCTGATTTTCCTGAACGGCATCACTTCATAATCTGCAACAGGAGTCGGCTCCACAAATATTTCCTGAACGTTAGCACTGATCTCAGTGAATCACCCTGCACAAGTTTTGCTTTGTCTCTTGGAAGGATAGTGTGAATAAAAAAGACGGAGGTCCTTCTCTGGGATAGTCCCATGAAACCGAAGTTAAAAGATAGTGTGATTGCACAGCAAAATAGTCCTCTGTGAGCATAATCAAACACATGGTATACACATTCCCCTTGGTAAAAACGATTTACACTAATCAATTAATATCAGCAATGGAACCCAAAGCATTGGTAAATCAGACTCTAACGTGACAATTCAAAAGTAGACAGTGCCCCACTGGGTTAATAAATCAGAATTAACTAAGACAATACTTTAAATACCACATCATTGAAAACTCCTAGCAGGCATGGCCCGCATCAGTTACTTTACAAATAATGGTCATAACAGGAGAAAGAGCAAGCACCATGCTCACTAACGCAGGTTACTGGACTGTTCTGACTAAGCACTGCAGTTCACAGGTAACTACCTCGTAGCTTCCCTTCAAGTTACTGACTCTTTCTTCTTCCGGAATGGTGACTTTAACCTCTTCCATACGCTGCTTTTGGGTTTAGACTTTTTCTCCATGGCCAGTACCGCCTCCTTTTCTTTCCTACGTATCTCCCGAACAAGGGCGTGGAACACATCATCAATGTAGTAGCGGTAAGCAGCAGATGTCTCAAAAAAGGGACAGCTGAATTCTCGGGCCAAAGCCAGTCCTTCTTCCTTGGTGACCTTTAAAAATGTAGGCGTGAGAAAAATTTATAGTGCTAACAGCGGAAAACAATTACAACATCCAAAAAAGTCAATGGACTACCTTAACAGGAAGAGAGGAATCCCTGGGTGGTGCAAAGGGTTAAGCACTCCACTGCTAGCTAAAAGGATGGCGGTTCAAACCCATCCAGAGACACCTCAAAGGACAGACCTGGCGATCTGCTTCCGAAAGGTCACAGCCTTGAGAACCCTACGGAGCAGTTGTACTCTGCACACATGGGGTCGCCAGGAGTTGGAATTGACTCGATGGCAACTAACAAGAGGAAGAGAGCGTCTCAACCCTAGAAACGGTCAAACAGAATATAGGGGATTGTGTAGCATTTGGGAGACTGGATCACACGACTTTTAAGGTTTCTTCTGCCTTCGTATTTTATGATTTTATTTCTAGACTATTCCAAAGGTAACTTTTGGGAACATGGAATAGTTACAGATATTGAATACGCAATCTTAATTTCTCTCAAACTTTTCATTTTAAGGAAGAAAAGCACAAGGCAAAGAGAAGTATACTTAAATTACAATATTAAAAACTCTTAGGAACTTAAAATGGATATATCCTATCATGGATATGCCATATAATTTCTCCTACTTTTGGACATCTAGACTATTTCTAATTTTTTGCTACAATAAACAGCCTGGCAATGAACATTTTATATATAAATCTCTGAATAGATTTTTTTCAAACAGGAATTAACTGGGAAGCATTATGAATTAACTGTCAAACTACTTCCAGAAGGTTTCTACCATTCACTGCTTCCACTAGCAGTCATGAGTGCGTCTGTTTCACTATACATTCATCTCTATACCAAACAGTAAAATTTTAAACATCATTCATTGCTAACTTGAAGGGTATCACATATTCTAAAATACTCTACGATTTCTCTTATTCTCCCCTTCCAGGGCTCATAACCCTCATCATCAGAAGTGTACCCTGTAGCCTCACCGGGGTTCCGGCTGTTATAACATAAACAGATATATTTCTGAGGATTTAGGAAATGAACATTCCAAGACTCTTCATTTACTATGTACTCCATTTGTCGTGTGACTTTAATCCTGTGGATTCTGCCCTGTAAACCGATTCTTATAATCCAGATTTTATCCAAAATGAAAGCAAACAGGGAAACTTTCAAGTTTAGGGAGAGGCTAATTCTGAATTATTTTAAGGCAAAGGAATCTATAAACAGAGTAACAAAAATCCCACACGATTACAGATAGCATTTTCTTCTCTATCCTCACCTGCCTTAGTTGTTTTAGGTCGGACTTATTTCCCACGAGAACCACAGGTGTATCATCAGTACGTCGAACTCGATAAATAAGCTGTTTAAACTCCCGAACTTCATGGAAACTTCGACGATCCGTGATGGAATAACAGATGATAAACCCTTCTCCTGCCCTCATGTACTGATCCCGCATGGCTGTAAACTCTGCCTAGAGGGAAACAGAATCATTAATGTATTGATGCCAGCTACAGCTACATACATGCTAGCTATCTAGTTCAGATTAAAAGAAGAGATATGTTGATTACCTGCTATCCTGAGACAGAGTGCATGAAAAATTAAAAGAGATGGACTAGTGATCTTCTCTGCAGAAGTCTTTCCCTCCCCTTTACTAAAGTGAACCAGCCTTTACTCATAGCATCCTGGGATTTAATACCTGCCCGGCTGTATCCAAAATGTCCAGGTTGGCAGGCTCATCGTCAATACGGATCCGGATTTTATAAGCATCTTCTACAGGCAGGAAGAAAGGTGTATTATAAACTCATAAATGCAGGAATAAATACTTTACTTTAAAACTCCTCTTGTGGTGAACTAGATTCCACCCAAGATCTTTCAGTGCCCAAATTTCCTCAGGAAGCACGCTAAAGCTTGCTAAATCCACTGAGGTAAGTGAATTGTGCCATCAACTAAGGTGGTTTTTTTTTTTTTTTCCACGTAGGCAATGAAGTAGTTTGGTCATAGCTTTAAATTAAGTTTATAAAACTTCACCTACAATTCTAATCTAAAAAAGGAGTCTGAGAAATTGCCATTTAAAAAAATATTCCGCCAGAAAACTAACCTTACTGTTTATTAAACATTTATTACATGCCAGGCAGTATACTAAGTAATTTACAAACATTAACTCATTCAACAGTCACAATAATCCACTGAGGTAGGTATTATTATCTCTGTTTTACAGATAATAGTAAATTCTAAAACATTAAATGTCTTCCCCAATCACACAATTAACTAGTGGTAAAGCCAGGATTAAAACCCAGGGCTTCTTGTCTCAAAAGCCTCACGGACTTAACCATACTCTATAAAAAAAAAAGAAAAAACCCCATTGCCGTTGAGTCGATTCTGACTCATAGCGACCCTTTAGGACAGGGTAGAACTGCCCCATAGAATTTCCAAGGAGCGCCTGGTAGATTCAAACTGCCGACCTTTTTGTTAGCAGCTACAGCACTTAACCACTATGCCACCACGGTTATCCACCATATGCTACAGTTCTCTTCATTTCAATATTACAGAAAAAAAGAAAAACCAGAACTATTTTATAAAGAATCCATATTGTCATAATTTCTCCTTTATTAAAGCAAATTTCTTTACGCATATTATTATAGTAACCTTGAAAATACAGAAAATAACAGAACAGAAAAAATCCACTCACTATTTCCATTACTCAAAAACAACTGCTGTTTACAACCTCATGTAACTTCTCTTAACATTTTTTTCTTGAATCCCTGCTTCTGACTTTTCCTCAGAGATGAAGAGTCCACTAAATCAGTGTTTCTCAAACTACAGGTCATGATCCATTAGGATTAATGAGTGGTGAATCAATTTCGTGGGTTGGGACTAGCACTAAAATAAACAAACAGAAACCTAAAATAAACTCGAAAATACCGGAGCGCATCGCATGCAGTGAGGCAGTTTCACGATACTTTCATTTTAGTTACCTATGCATATATGTACACACACAGACACACAGACACACATACTTTTGTATGTGTATGTGTACTGGTTACAATGTAAACATGTTTTTCTTCAATTAGCAGTCAGAGTTTGAAACGAATATGGTATCAAACTGACAACAACTAGAAAGATTAGATAGGATACTTAAGGGGCAGCGAGTTTATGTTAATGGGGGAGGAACAACTCCGCAAAGGAGGATGAGAATGGTTGCCCGATTCAAAGACTGTAATCAATGTTACTGAATTGTACATGTAGAAATTGTTGAATCGCTCTATGTTCTGCTGTGTATACTCTGAGCAACAACAACAACAACAAAACATCTGAAATAAAACGTAGTACATTATAAATTCGATGCGAGCAAGAACCGTATCTTTTTGGTCACAATGTCCCCAGGGTCTACCACACTGCTTGGCATGTAACAGGAACTCAAGAAACATAGTATTTGTTGTTAAATCAAATAATACAGTGTCAGGAGAGTGGCTGATGAGAAAAAAAACCGATCTGCTGATTTACAAAAATGTCACTCCTACAGGAAACAAATACATGAGTTTTCACTTTAAAGGATGGAAAAGCCACTTCTGGGTTTCTCAAGTAATTATCCTCAGCCCTAAACTGACTTCATTCTTTGAACTTCCATGACGGTTCAAATCCTTGTAAAATGTTCCAAATTTAATATAGTTCATTCAAAAAAAAAACCAAAAAAACCAAGAACTGTTTGTATTTTTCCCAATCCACAGAAGTATCTATTGTGTAAAATGACCACAGTGAAAGCTGGGTTACCACAGAACACTCACTGGCTTGGTGAAAACAGTGCAGCAGAGGCCTGACCCGATAGAAAGCCTCCCTAGAGACCTGAGGTCATGCGAAGAGTATCACATCCCGAAAACGCTAGCAATTAAGGCAGATGTTCTGCACACCACCTCCCCCACATTTTTCTTTTGTATTAGAACATAACTCCTTAAAACCCAACCTGATTTTTTATGGTTCAGTAATGACAGTAATGTTCTTAATCTTAGTAAAGACTTAACAACCAAAGACACAAGGCAAACGCAATGACTTTTTTACTCTAATAGGGTTTTGCCAACCATGGATATTACTAGATTACGAACTTCAGGTATAAGGAAGTAAATGAAGGGCACCAAGGATTTTAAGATTTTAAGAGTTCAGCAGGCTGGCTCTACTTGTTTTTCTACTTCCTTTTGTACAAGTTCAAACCAGCTGACTCACAGCTACATAGTCAGTCTCAAATCAGACTCTTAGGGAAGTGACAGCAAGAAGTTTTCCAATAAGTGCCCTTTAATCTTTTCCTTTAATCTGGCAATATCGTATACAAACCATAAAATGTGACAAAGAAAGTCCCATGAGTGTTCAATTAAAAACAGAGACTAAAGATGGTTTATGCACATACAGAGTTGAGTGAGGAGAAAAGAAATACTACCAATTGCTATGACCCACTTGTTACTAAAGAAATCTGAATCACACACCAAAAAATGTTCAAAACAAAAATAGTTAGGAATCATTTTCAAAACTGACATTCACCAAGACACTTTTATGGGGTTTCTTGGGAAATCTAACTGGTAATCTGACTTACCAATGGTGGGGTCATGATCTTCTGGGAATCGGTGGCTAATGAACTGCATGGTCATGGCTTGAAAACAAGAAATCAAAGTCAAAAATCTACACAAAGGCGACCCGCAGAATTTGAAGTATGCACATTGCATGACAGCAGTATCCCATTTAAGTATTTTTCATCTGGTCCAATGGAAGAAGAACATCACCTACCGCTCTTCCCCACACCCCCGGCGCCCAGCATCACTAGTTTGTACTCTCTGGAGAGTCCTGCGGGGCTGCTACAACCGCTACCCACTGGGCGAGTTCCAGAATCCATCGTCCTGGGGGGAATCCTGGGCTGTCCCAAGGAAAAGCCACCTAGAAAGGAGAAAACGTGATCCAGGACGAGACACCGTGACGACGGCCCTCGAGCCAGCGCCCTGCTTCCCGCTCTCCGTGGCCCGTCCGTCCTCGCTCCCCGCTGAACCCTGTGGTGGCCCTCAGGAACCGACACTCCGCCCTCTCTGCAGGGCTGCTCGGTCCTGTGACACATCGAAGGGCTTCCGCATCACTACTCTTCCCAGAAAGAAAACTAAAGAGACAAAGAAATTCCGAGTTTTTTCAGACTGACGTACCGCACAGTAAGGAGGGGGTGCCCAGCGAGCAAAGTGAGGTTTGGGGACCGAACGGCACGCCGCCCCTCAGGCCGCAGGGGGTCCTCTCAGCCCGCCGACCCCGCGGGCCCGCCCTCTCCCCATTCCCCTCGGGGATCCCCTCTCTTCCCCCTCTACACCTCCGCCCGCCATCATGCCCCCCTGCCCTCCGCTTGCCGCCCCGATCCCGGCTGCGCGTACCAGTCGGGACAGGAAGGCCACAGCCCGGCCCGATCTCCCACTTCGTCTGCCTCCACTCGCGGAGAGGCGCGGGCGCTGACCTGTGACCTCTCCCGCGACCGGGTAAGATGGCGCCACCGGCGGGAAGGGCGGGGCCGCCAGTGACGGCGGCGCCCGGCCCCGCCCCCTCCGGGGCGGGGCACCTCTCCCCCAAGTTCTCCAAGCCCGGTCCGCGCGCCGTTCACCACTGAAGCCTGGTGGTAGGGTACCTTGTTTTTGAGTTGGGTTCGAGTTGGTTCCAATTCAGAGCGACCCTGTAGGGCAGACTAGAACTGCCCCATGGGGTTTCCAAGGAGCGGCTGGTGGATTTGAACTGCCGACCTTTTTGTTAGCCCAGCTCTTAACCACTACGCCGAAGGATTATTTTCAGAAAAGTCAAAAGAAAAAGGAAGATGTATTAAGAAGGAACACACATTGAATAACTCACTCAGGGCTGTGTGCTGCTTGTGGAAACAAAACTAATCTGGCCAAATGTAATAAAAGAGAGGAAACTGGCATCAAATCTTCCCAAACAGGATTGAGATCAAAATGCCTGTTTAACAGTAGACAAAGGAAATTTCCTCCAAATGGGCAGCTGCAATGACTTGGGCTCTTGAATCAAGATTAGGTCTTGAAAGCAGATGTTCACAACACTCTAGTTATCCTTATTAGGGTTCTGTATGCATTTTAAACATATATATGAAAGGTAAGGTATGCAAAAGTCCAGGGGTGTTGTTTTAAATGACACCAAAATCTAGCAGGAAGGGCTTGCAAGTAGCCTTGAATGAAATAGTGGGCACTACCACCTTATTCCTCTACAGAGGTAGCACACACAGGTGCTGGAAGAAACTTCCCTTTTGTCTTTCCAAGAATAACTTGCATTTCCTTTAAAATTTGTGTCATTCACTCGGTTCCTCCTTTCCCACAAGTTAACTTTAAAAAACAAAAAACCCAGCTGCTGTTCACAACTCCATGTGTCAGAGTACAATTGTGATCCATGAGGTTTTTCAATGCCTGAATTTTTCTCAAAGTGCATTGCTAGGCTTTTCTTCCAAGGTGCCTCTGGGTGGACTCGAACCTCCAAATTTTCTGGCTGTGTTAATCAACCAGGAGAGCTAAAATATGAAAAAGGCCTGGCAATTTACTTCCAAAAACAAGTCAATGAAACTCTGTGGATCACAATGATTCAATCTACACTCAATCTTGGGGACGGCCCAAGACAGGACAGTGTTTTGTTCCACTGTGTGTGGGATCGACAGAGTAGGGGTTGATTTGATGGCTGCTAACAACAAAATTTGAAAATGGATAACATTTACCATAATCTCTAAAGTTTTCATCTGGATTTTAAGGATGTACTCTGGAGAGTCATAGAGTCATAAAACCCTTAAAACTATATGCAAACGTTTGGGTCCATATATATATTTTTTCTGGTTATAATTTCATCATTCTGTGAGTCTAAAGCTTATGAATTTTACTGTATGGCTGGATTATGGAAGAAAAAGAATACATAAGCCAAGCAGAATGTTTGTACATTTATTTACAATGAAATTAGGATCTAAATATTTACAACACATAGGAAAGCAGAGGACACGTTTATACAAAGCCAGCCTGCAAAGAATTAAAATGTGCAAAAATGACAGTTCAGTATCTCAAACTACTTCTGGTTCAGCAGACTAGCTCCTTCACTTTCACGCATCAATTATTTGATACAAAAAAGTTCTTTTGGCAAAACCTGTAATGCCAAGAAAAAGGACAAGTTGCAATTCAGTCACTAAGTCCACTATCCTATTGCGAACAGCCACATCTCTCTATTTTAGCTGCAACCAGTTCTGAGAGAGACAGACCACTGTGTTTCACTTCTGTGATGAGTTCCGACCAGCTTTTGGTCAAGTAGTTTTCTCTGACCCAGGTGAAGACAGGGAAGGAGCTTAGAAAGGCAATTTAAAACAAAGCAATGGCTATCTGAGACAAGTGTGCCTGAAGGTGCCAGCTCTGGATCATCCCGATAAAAAGACACAATGAAAAAATAACTTCATTTTCCTACCCAGGATCCAGCTATATCCAACAATATTAATTTAGTAAAATGGTATTTTCCAAAGAAAAAGAATCTAAAAATGAAATACGAATGAGAATCTCTTAGAGAATTAAGTAGTGAAAGTAAAGGATGGTCTTAAAATCACTTCCCCACTAGTAAATAGTAAGGCTTTGTTTGTAACCAGTTATTATCAAAATTGACTAAACAGTAGTAAAATACAAATAAAACTTTCTTCACGTCAGAGAAGGGGCTATTCAACTGGAAAAGGCTGGGCCCAGTCAGATGTATATGGAAATAACCCTGTTGGGATGCTCTGTTGAACAAGCACAATTCATCCACTGTTTAAAAAAAAGCTTCGGAGACAAGTTTGTGATTCTAAGTCAATTTTAACAGATGCTATGCCACTGCAGAAATACAGTTGTTTTAAAAAGAACACAGCCCCTTTAGGAAGGGGACACTGTATCTCTAACTTCCGCAAAGGTCCAAGGTGGTTCTCGGGACAGGCCCCAGAGTCTTGTTACATCAAATACATGCATTACTGCTAAAGAAAAGTCACTGAGGGTCAAAATTCTGGTCCATGTTTCCTATGGGGCCATCCAGAATGGCATCTGTTGTTTAGCTCGTGGCTGTGATGAAGGGTACTGATATCCCAAACTCCAGCCCTGTGGGAAACTACTTGCATTTTTATGACCTCCATGTTCCTCCTCTTCATCAGATGAATCTGCAGCATAAGCTACTAAGCCAAATCCCTTCTCTGTAGTTTTCATCTTCTTGGCTGGATAATCTAGAATAGAGAAAAACACCCCAACCCCATACCCCACCGAAAAAAAAAAAAAAAAAAAGATAATACCATAAAATCGTTAATAAAAAAAAGATGTTAATTTTAAGTGGTTAGTTGGACACCATTTTGAGGTCACAGGGTCAGTGGTCACCCAAAAACGTTGATGATCACACGAAAAACAGCACCAGCATCAGCAAATGTGAATCCACCAGAACCATGTAAGAAAACAGAGAAAGAAAAAAGAACACAAAAAAAAAAAAAGGAAAAAAAAAAAGGAAAGTTAGCAAGTGAGTCTCTAGGGGCTGATATTTCACCTTTTTTAAAGAGTTAAAAGAAAAGAAGTTAAGAAAAGAAAAAAAACTATTTTCTTCTGTTCATTTTTATTACGGCTCTAAGCAATGAACAAAACTCAGCACATGTACATCTACAGGATTTAGAGTTCTGGGATACTAAGAGACAACATTTCTCGTAACAGCCATAGGCTGCCCATTATCAACCATTAGAGCTACAAGAGGAGAAGTGGCTCAGTTCCCAATACAAAGAGAAATGATCTGTAGGAAGTCTCTATCAGATTACCTCCAGCTAGTCTGGCAACATAAGCAATAAAATTTCAAAATGACCAATCACTAGTATTTCCTAGGGTTTTAATGTCACTGATGTTATGTATAAAATATAAGTCACCTAACTCTTTTCTAGACACACAGTCAGTTGAAAATACCATAGTACCATACCCGTTGACGCTGAGTCGATTCCAACTCATAGTGACCCTATAGGACAGAGTAGAACTGCTCCACAGGGTTTCCAAGGAGCGGTTGGTGGATTCAAACTGCTGACCTTTTGGTTAGCAGCTGTAGCTCTTAACCACTGTGCCACCAGGGCTTCAAAATATAAGTTGCCTGACTCTTTTCTAAACACACAAGTCAGCTGAAAATAAAAAGCTGTGTAACTATATGCTCTCTGTATTTGGCGGGGGGGGGAGAAAAAAAAGGTGTTCTATTAGCCAGTAGATTACAAAGGTTGGATTAAACACTTGAATGAATATCAGGTTAGAAAACTAACAGTGTAAGACCAGTCTCCCTCAGTCACCCCCTGTTCCCCCGGCTACACCTTACTCACCATGGCTCCCTGTTAAGGTCCCAGACCCATTCCTTTCATCAGACTCTGTTTTTATTCCTGTCACTGGAAAGGCTGGTGGAGGCATCAACTGCCTGTTAAAAAACAAAAGGAAATTTTCTCTCAGACAAATTCAGTCGATTTTTAACTCATCAAACAGGTAAGAAGCTTACCCATTAATATGAACCCTGTCCACCAGATCCTTTAAGCTATCATTAAGTTTGTAAGAATTATAAGGCCTGCCTACATGCCAAAAATGGAATGAGCCGTTATGAGAGGTCAGTTCCCAGTTATCAAGGTTAATATACTAAATACAAGAAAGGATTAACGCATTGGACGGGAGGCTGGATTCGCAGTCGAGTACCTCCACCCATGACATTCTATGATCCCAGGGAGCAAAGAACGGCTCACTTGTGAAACACTTCTTACTGCCAACACTTAGGAAAACGGCCAGGATGCAGACAACGCAAGCAAAGGAAGACGTTTCAATAAGCAAGTACTGAACTACTCAGAGCTGAGGGTAACCACTGGTAAGACTGTGAAACGCGTATTACTGTTCTCCACGACTGCATCCCGTTACAATAAACCAGAGCTTGTTTGCTCCAAATGATTTCAGTCAGAATGCTGAAGCCCCTGCAGCACCGATCATCACTATCACTAATGGTGCAGAAGACGTCTGAACATATTCATTTATGAACTCACCTGTCCCTCTCTCGCTCTTTGCCTGAGGAACTTGCCGGCTTCGATCCTGCACCTTCAATCTCACTCTGACTGGAGAAGCCTGTACCTAAATTAGTCATATGAATGGGTCCATGCTATGAGCAGAAAAATACAGTGGCATTAGCAAATCTACAACTGCTGTATTGGCTTCAGCTCCTTAATGTAACTGTCAGGTGTCTCATCTTTCTTATAAATTGCACTACATTAAACTGACATACATAGATCTCTGGGATTTTGGAGTATAATGGTGGTCAAAGCAGGCATGATTTTCTTTTGGTCAGGGATGCTGTGATTCACTCTGTTATATCTCTCTGTTTTCAACCGACTATCCATTACTCAACTGGTTTGTCTGACCTAGTTATAAACTATAAAACGCCTCAGAGTTTGCTTCAAAGAATGCTTTAAGAGATTCTAGAAAAAGCAATCGTGCTTCTTCTCTGCTAAAAACAAAGCAAAATTGCACCAAACTACACATTTTAATCATCTTTTTTAATTCTTCAGTGTCTGTACACAATTATATGTGTGCACAAATCAGTCTATTTCTGGCAATCTTTTTTTTTTTTAAGAGGGACATAAGATTGGAAGAGACAGGAGTAGAAATCATCCTCTTTTTCAGAGGGAAAAGTAACAAATTTAAAGCCATAGTTTTAAATACAAGCCACACAAACTGGTAGAATGGTAGCTTTTGATGAAATCTCAGGAAGAAAGAACTATGATAGGCTTTCAAGAGTCTGTTGTATGAATGTCCCTGGGTGGTATAGTTGATGCACTCAGTTACAGGTATGCATATACTCAGAGGTGCATCAGAAGAAAGGCCTGGCAAACTACTTCTGAAAAATCAGCCACTGAAAATCCTATGGAGCACAGTTCTACTTTTACACATACGGAGCTGCCATAAGTCGGAACTGACTTGAAGCAACTGGTAAACTGGTTGTATAAAAAATAGGAAGTACAGAATTCTACAGAACTCCTTCCAGATGCTATCTATAGAAGACTTCTCTCTAGGTGGGGAACTCTG